GAACCCTTTGAGACCCTATGAGGCCCATGGATGACAAGGACTGTAGAGGCCAGGCAGACCCTGTTTTGATTACTGTGCTGATCTGTTTTAAAGGAAGGACTTTACTTTAGACCACCGCAGCAAGGGGTCAACTGGTAAGCAAGGCAAAGCCTGGTTAGCAGACAGAAAATGACTGTAATAGTTGCTAAATTATTACTCAAACATCATGTAACCTATATGGCTCTAGAGCTGGCAAGCTATATCACCTTACCAAAGAGAGAGTTCAGGTTCTGCCGCCTTCCATACAGCGTTGAAAATCCCCACCCAGCACGATGCATAGAGAACAGCAAACCCTTAGGCTTGTGACACTGTAGGGTGGGTTACAGCCTGCGCAACTACCCTGGAAACCAAACGGCCTTGCTATCCCAGCTGAATCATCATTCAACTAGTGAGGGTGAGGAGCAAGTCCCATAAGCTGGAAGGGACTAGTGCCAGGTATGGTGACCACCCTTCAGCTCTCCAGTGGTGCAATGAACTCCTGATGGCAAAAGAGGCAAGAAACCCTGTACGTGGGGAGGAGAAATAAGTAGATGGCAAAGGAAAAAATGTTGTAACCAGCCTGTTGCAGGTTGTTTCTCTAATCCCCCCCTCCCCGGCAGGGCATTTGAATTTGTGCTTGTTTGCCTTGCAGAGGGGTGCCCAGGCTTGTGCAACGGCAACGGGAGATGCACTCTGGACATGAATGGCTGGCACTGCGTCTGCCAACTGGGCTGGAGAGGAGCGGGCTGCGACACTTCCATGGAGACAGCCTGCGGGGATGGAAAAGACAACGATGGAGGTAGGAGCTGAGCGCATACGGTCCATCTGCCTCCACAAACCCTTTTCCAAGCAAGGCCGGCAACCAGTTGGGAGGACGCTGTGTCACGGAGAGTCCTTCCACAACAGCTGGTGGAGAAGGGGAAGCAGGCTCTGCCAAATTAATTTGACTCGCATTGGTCTGAACTGAAGTGAAATGAATGCGGTGCTGGGATGACAGGGCAGAGGAGAGCAAGGCTTATGCTTCCCCAGAACCAATGCATTGCAAGTCAGACACTGGTGATGTGAATGTTTCTTTGCTTCATGCCACTGTGACACAAAGGGGCCAGAGAGCTTTGCCGCTCTGCTGCGATTGCCACCAAGGCTCTCCTCGATTGCTATGAACCTGCATATGGGTATGAAACAGCAACTTAGAGGCTTAAGTGGCTGATCTTTATGCTCCCACCCCATCCAATCCCACTCAATCCATACTTGATTGATTCTAGTTCTGTCTATAATGATGACAGGCCTGTGAATCAGAGCCTAGTGTAATGCAAAGTTAATATTCATAGTTATCTCATTACAAAGGAAACCCTGGTACAGTGTGAAGGTTTGAATTAGAGGGCAGGAGATGAGATATTAAATTTGAGGCATAAGGGAGGCTGCATAATTTGTTTTGTTGTCACAGTGAAAGGCTTTGTAAACCACAAGCCTGGGCCAGGACCCAGACTGTGAAGTGGAGACTGCATTTGCAAGTGTCTTGTTTTATCATATTAACAAGAGCAGGGCAGTTAAAAAAAAACAAAAACTCTTAAGCCAAGTCTGTGATTATCTGTTTCGCAGCAACCGGGATTTTGATTGAATATTTAAAATGCTTCTGCACATCTGGCATGATAAATGGACCAAATTGTCCCCTTACAAAAGTTGTGGGAGGGAGGGGGTGGGGAGGAATCACAGCCCCACACAAAGAGCACAAGCCATAAAACAAAAGTCACTTATTCCCTTGCATGAAACCGAATACCACTGTATAGGTTTTTTTCTATTTACAACTGACACAAGGCAGCAATAAAGTTCACCACACCAGATGTGTAAAAATATGGTAAGTATATCCAAGCATAATCCCAGCTTCTGTGGAAAAAAGTTGTCATATCTTGGAGAGAGGGCAAAAAACCCTAGGAGGTAATCCAGCCCAGAGCACGATGGAGCTCACATATGTAACATCAAAAAGAGCATGGTCAGACTCTTGGTATGTGAGGCTTAGGGGGAATCCTGGGCAGAAATGCCGTAGTCCAAAGTACTTGCTTATTACATGGAGGCACAATGGGTCGCAGTTAGCTTCAACGGGACTATTGCTCGACTTGTTCCTAAGGCAGTAAACATAGATCGGAGAAACAAAGGCAAGTGCTGTGACTGTTCTTCAGGCAATCACGGTGCCAAGAGCACTGAAGGAGCACTGGCTAAAATAGTCCTGCCTTCATCCTAGAGAGCACCCAGGGCACGTGTGGGGCTCAGGGCCTTGCAGTGGTGCAGTGGCGCCTATTAAAGGCAGCATTTGGTTTTTTTCCACATATTCTTGGTACAGCAATGCAGAGCTGGTCACAGTGCAGCCTTCAGCTACACATACCAGTGTGGAAGCAATGCAGGTCACTTCATTCCCAGAATAACCTTCTCTGCACACAGAGCCTCCTTACAAAGAAGCTTTTGCTTTAAAACAAGCTGGGGCTTCACCCCTGTCTGCTGCATGTGGACTTTTGCTCCACTCGGGTTCCCCATGCACTGGTTGCAGAGCTCTCTATGAAATGGGTGTCCGTCTGTTCATCCACATTCCTCCAGGTAAGAGGAACCTGAGGTGCAATTGCTTTCATTCAGTACTGGGGAGCATCTAACCTACAGGGGCAGAGTAACAGCTACAGGACGTGGCTTACTCTTCAGTAACATGAAGGTTACTTAGCCCCAAAGCAGCAAGGGTAGGTAAGTCGTGGCCAAAGTCATTCAGAGACTGACTCAATGAAGAAGAGTCTTTATTTCAGTTAGAGCGAGGGTATTCCCAAGAGCTCTCCTGCCAAAAATGTAGCATTTGGCAGGCCTGTCAGTGCTGTTTCAGCACCCTGAGTCCCATTAGCTGTGCCTGTGAGGGACCTCTCAGAGTAAGTCTGTTGACTGTTGATTGAACCAGAGGTTACATTACCGTAATAAAGAGCAGGCAGGTATCCAGGTTGTAGCCGTATTGGTCTCTAGGAAAAAACCAATCAGGACTCATAGTAGAGGTGATGTCTTTTATTAGACCAACTATATCTTTTTCTGCAAAAATCTAGCTGGGCTAATAAAAGATATCACCTCTGCTATGAGGCCTGATTGTAATGAAGAGTGGGTATTGAACTCAGTGTCACTGCACAGAAAACAGCAGAAAGTGGCCCACCTTTAACCAGCCTAAGGGATTTGCAGAAATTGGAGCATTTATTGCTCCAAATGGCAGAAGTGTTTCCAAAAGGCGTGCAGAGAGGAAGCAGGAATCCCCTTTAGTGACCCTCTTGTACTGTGGGATGTGGCAGAACTGCTCTGTTTCAGCATCTGCATTCTGCACGTGTCTCTGCTGTGGCCCTCCTGCCAGGTGGTCACAGCAAGGAAGTCCTGGAAAACTGAAGCAGCCAAGGAAACTAAATGGGGGAATGCCTGTTCACCAAAACACCCCAAAGGATGACAAGGTCCAGCGGTCACAAACTCCTCCAAGACCATTTTAGGCTGAACATAAGGAAAAAACTTCTTTACTGTGCGAGCCCCCAAGGTCTGGAATAGACTCCCCGCCCAGAAGTGGTGCAAGCACCTACTCTGGACACTCTCAAGAAACATTTGGGTGTTTATCTTGGTGGGATCCTTTGACCCTACCTGACTTCCTGTCCCTTGGGCAGGGGGCTGGACCCTATGATTTTACGAGGTTCCTTGCAGCCCGAATGTCTATGAAATCTATTAAATCATCCCATTGGGATCTGGAAGTCGATCTAAGGGCGTATGCATATCCGCACTTTAGCTCAATGGGCTGTTTCATTTCTAGCAAGCATATCTCCTACCAGCAGTTACCTCTGCCAGGAACAGTGGGTGGGGAATATGCTACACAGCTCATAGCTCATGCTTTGTCTCTCTGCTCTGGGGGAGCCATTGCCCTGCATGAATTACTGTTAAATTCAGAGTTAAAGAGTTAGAAGCGTTTGGCCAGTTCATCAGTTTTGTAGTCTAAAGTTCCCTTGCTGGCTAGAGTTTCTAGGGGAGCTATCAACATGGACCTGCCGTCCAAAGGTCCTGTCTGATTTACATATAAAGGCTTTATCCCTGCTTTTGATTTTCTGCAAAGAAGCTGGGTCCGAACCTGGCAGGAAAAGTTCTAAGACTGAGTAAAACCCCTGAGTCCTGCAGGAAGCAGTGCTGACTACTTGGTCGATGGCTTCCTTCCCTTTCATTCATGATTTGATGAGTTTCTCTCTGTAAGGTGTTTAGTGACATTTGAATTAGTGGGTAAAATCCAAGTCCTGGCAACATCTGGTCATAAGAGTCTTCATGACACCGCTGGAAGAAATTGCTGTTCTTTTGCCCTTTCTGGATTCCTATTTTAATTGTCATCCCTACCTTAATTCCCCTCGCAGTTTCAATGGGGCAGGATAGTTCTTCATTGCTTCTTACATGCTCTGTATTCTAATCCACAGAGTGGTAGACACTTTACTTATAACATGCAGAGGGGTCCTTTGGGATCAAAAATGCTATGTAAATATAAAATGTTATTTGTAAAATTACTAGCTAGATTTGCTCAGTCACGAGGGAGGGAGAGGTCTTTGATCCTTACATATAAGTCCCCAGAAAAATCTCTGGTGCTTTCCTCCAATTTAAACAGGTCCACGGGGCTGTTGCTAGTGACTGCTGGAACTACTGGGCATTTACAAACTGTTTTTATTTTTCCAGTTAGAGTAACCCAGCTCATTTAGCATACCAGAAGGGCCCTCCAATTTTTACTTCTTCATAGCAGTGGGGTCATAATATTAGCTTGATGATTTTCTCTGGAGAGGTGACAGAAGCACTCTACTATTCTCTTTCTTCTGCAGTAGCTGAAATAGCGGCACCTCTGCCCCCAGCTTGTGTCTTATTCATAAAGTATGAGTGATGCACAGTGTTACCAAAGATGAATGTCGGACTTCAAACCACGCAGGTCCCCTCCTTCCTCTTTCCAAGTGCAACCTGTGTTCAGCTTGTTCCTGCCCAAGTATTTGAAAGTCCCACCTTCCTTTCCTCCACCCCACTCCTTCAGAACCAGCAACTTAAATAACAGACCATCAGACAATCAAGCCATTGCGGTTTGGGTTTTTGCCTTTCTCTGATGCATTTAGTAACATCAGCTGCTCCTGGCACAAGATACCAGGGCCTCTAGAGCAATGCTCTGACCTTATCTGATCTGAAGTCTTAGAGCCAGGTTCTCAGCTGGTGGAAATCAGCATTGCTCTAGTGACTGCACCGCAGCTCATTGACTTCAGCTGAGTCAGTCAGTGTGCACAATGAAGCTCAGATCCTGTAGTTTTGCTCAGTAGGTTGATGAGCAAGTCACGGTGGTGGGAGGAGAGTGGCGGGTGCCTGACATTCGTCACCTGGGAGAAATCTGGCACTGTACACCAAGGCCTTTCTTACCAGCCCCCGGGAATGTTTTGGGAAGAGCTGGGTGGAAGACACAAGATGCTCTTGCACTGCGTAGGGCCCAACTAGAAAAGAAAGGCAAGGAACCATTGCAAAGAAACAGGCAGCGTCCCAGGAGACAGACAAGCAACACTCCATCTTTACAAGTGCGTTGGCTGCAGGCAAAGTGATGGAGCTTTTATAATACACACTAGTTCCAGTCTCTTTGCTGCCCACATGCTGTTTAGAACCTGTGCTAGAAGCCTGCAAGGCTTTTATAGAGCAAGAAGATTGACTCTGGGGAATTTCAGGGGAGCTTTCAGGTTCCCTGAAACCATAAAAAACAACGCATGAATGTACTCGCTGCATTTACAAAGGGTGGGGAAGTGT